AATTCCCTGCACAACAGAAATTTGGCTGAGAGTGGAAGTGTCTCCATTGTGGAGTCTGTAACACTCCATTACATTGCATAGTACCATCTATAGTGATAACATATTTCAGGAAGTGTGGGCATGAAAATACATGCATGGTGGAGCCTGTGAGGCTACCCTGAATGTTGGAGAACTGCAGGCTCCTAGTTTTGGAGTCTCCTTATGATTGTGCTGTACTTCAAATATTTTGGCAAGTAAAGCAGTTCACCTCTATGTATTTTGGTGTATTTTTCTGTTTTGTTCTGCATTCACTTTTTAAAGACCGGGCAATCTAATGGGGGTTTTTTCTGACCTATGCATGGTGCTGCTATGCCCTCAGCAGCCATACCTCTCCTCTAGATTGCCAGTGGCATCCTTACAATGATGGACACTTGGACACTCCTCTCTAAAGAAGTTCCCAAACGGCTCACTTTTCTGCAGTCTGTGCCTTCTCTGAGCCCTTTGTCACATTACCCTTCTATTGTAATGAGTACTCGCAGCAGTGTATAGAAAGGTTTCCCCCCAGGGGTTCTTGGGACGTTTTCAAAGACAAGAAAAAAAGGAAATATAGCAGCCCATCTTGCCAATATTTACAAAGCGTCAGTCACACCAGCGCTGGCTCTCTCATTGACAAGGGCACTGTTTAATTAGGCAAGGCTTGGGCAGTGGATTACTTAACACAGCCGGGCTGCGGAGGCATCTGCTTACGAGTCGGTAAATTTGCATGACTGTGGATGCCGCCCTCCTAATGTTCTTAAATGTTCTTAAAAATGAGAGTAGCAATTAACAATTTCCTTTTGTTCATGGCATCCTAAGGCATCTATCCCCCGCCCTCAGCTAATGAGATCTACATACCTCTATCCCGGGGGCCTTTGGGAAGTGCTACCTTTTATATGGCTTGATGTTCCCATCTCCTCTGCAATGACCCAGTGTAAAGGCTCCTGTTCATTGATCCTTTATTGGCAGTGTAGGCAGACATGGTTAAAGTGGTCCTGTCGTCAAAGTATTATCCCACAGCTATCCTTATGGTGCCCATACAGTTCCCCATTTGGGCCTTATTGCGTTCCAGTTGGCAAATTTGTCCATCACTGCTGGCTCTAAAGCTGCCCGATGGAGAGCCTTGTCTAATTGCTGCTGGTAAGCCAGTGCTAGAGGTATCCACAGCTTGCTTTCATTCACAGAAGGCTAAACATTGGTTTATGTAGATTGGTTACATGGTGCGACCATTGATGTTTAGGGAAGCAGTGGAAACTTCACGTGCCTAAACATGTGGCCTCCTTTCGACATCCCTAGTTGCCTTTCAGGTTGTAATGTGTTAAAACAAGTGGTAAAATGCCTTTCCTGAATAAATTGGTACACCGGGATATCTTTGGTGACTGGTCACGTGACCAGTGGCGAGGCATTTTTCACACAGCCTTTGTTAAGTGGGATGGCTGTCATTTCTCCAAGTTGCCTCCGTACGGACCACTGTACCAATGCTTAGGCATGAAGAATAGGTGGGGAAATGCCTTCTGACCTGGTCCATTTTAAATGGAAGCTGTGAGGAAAGATATGGGGGCTACCATTGCTGACTGTTTTAAAGGGGTAGACTATGAGCTGTGATCCTGGCTTCACTGCTTATCAAGTCACTACAAGCATGCAGGCAGCAAGTCTGAAAAATCTAGAACTCCCGTCCAACCTGCTTGTTGTGGAACAGTGATGTGCCAGCTAGTGAAGCCATGCTTCATACTTGCCTCTAAAAGAGGGCACTGCAGGGTGTACTCAACATATATAGCCAGTGGAAAAAAGAGATGGTTATAGGAGTGTAAAAGTCACATACATGTCCTACATGAATATAAAGCTGCTGAGTTTCCAAGAACAAAGGTCTTAGCAGTGTCAATCACAACCATCTTTTACATGGTGGCTCAGGCCCCACTATGGCCACCACCTATATCATCATTTTCTTTTAATGGAGAAGGCACCAAGTTGAGGGGTGCTGGTCAGATCTTCCAAAGCATAGCTTCAGAGCGAAGGAACTATACCCAGATCAGGATGGCCGCCCCGGAGCCTGTAGCTTTAAAGTAAAACTCCACCTTTGTGCAAAACAAACTAATAAAACTTGCTATTATATTATTAGAGACATTTATATAGCGTTGTCATGTTTACGCAGAACTTTACATACTATTCATTCATGTCAGTCCCTGCCCTCAAGGAGCCTACAATCTAAGGTCCCCATATCACATATACATATATACTAGGGTCAATTGGGACAAGAACCAATAACCCTAGCAGCATGTCTTTGGAGTATGGGAGAAAACTGGAGTACCTGGAGGAAACCCCCGCAAGCACAGTGAGGACATGCAAACTACATGCAATGTTCCACCACTGTACCCCCTATACATCTGTTCCACAACTGTACCCCCTATACATCTGTTCTACCACTGTACTTCCTTGCACATCGGTTGACCACTGTACTCCCCTTCACATCTGTTCTACCACTGTACCCCATACTCCTCTTTTCCACCAATGTACTCCTCTGCACATTTGTTACCCTCCTACACATCTATTCCACCATTGTTCCCCCAGTGCACATGTGTTCCACCACTGTAGCCCCAGTGCAAATCTGTTCTACCCCGGTACTCCCCTGCACCTTGGTTGTACCACTGTATCCCCCTACACATTTGTTCCACCTCTGTACCCCTAAGAGAAGTTTAATCAGTGTGACCATGAGCGTGGATTAAAAAAAAAAATGATGGGTGGACAGTTTAGCCCCCTTACCCTGGGGGCGCATACTCTCCTACATTAAAGCTCCCATCTTCCCACGGTGATAGCTCTCAATGACCCAGTCACCAAAGCGGTATTAAGTCGCAGTGGCGACCAGGCGATGGGAATGGCCCATCCCTGCTGTAAAGAAACAGCGGATCCCAGGACTAGGATGTAGTTAGGTCACAGGACATGTAACCTCTGCCTGAGAATTTTTGTGGATGGGACTCACTGTGATGCTCCCATTTCTATTTAACACCGTGGTACCAAGTACTATAAAGATGTTGCTGTAAAATGAATGTAATCAGCAGTACCTTCCTGGCATGAAATGGAAAATATGTAACACACGGCATCACTGGGTGATGTCCAGTAGAGGGCGCCAGTTCCTAGCTTAGTGTGGAAGCATTGGGCAAGTTTTATTGCTTCTTGGTGTATAGAGATCATTCACAGCTAAAGCAATGCTCTCATGTAGGTCACATATTCTCTGTATACCTCCTATTACCCTTGACCATTGCTATTATGCAGCAACATTTTGCATGAAGTACTATTCTATCATGAACAGTATATATTAGCTCCTAGGTTCACTTCTCATATTTACATTTATTGAATTACATCTGTGCATTGAAGGCAGATCAGTGCGGCTATAACGCTTGCCTTTGCAATTGGGGGGGTCAATTCCCAGCAGGGGCACTGTGTGCAAAGTTTGTATGTTCTCCCATTTTCTACCACAATCCAAAAAACTATATACTGAAAGAAATATGTTCTATAAAATATGATTAGCTGCTTTGGATAAACAAAAAATTATTTTGTTCAGCTTTTAAAAGTATTAGTAAATGCTCAATGTTTTTAATAATGGATCCAGATAAAACAAATATACATTACCCAGCAAAGCATTGCTTTACATTTTTGCCCGAGCACTTAGTCGTCATGTTTCAAAACGGCTGGCTGCAACACTCTCGGCTCGACATCCCTGAACTTCCTGTCCAGTGCAAGATCACAAGGGACAGAGCAATCTCCAGCCGCTGTTCATCTACTGGCTTGGAAAATAAAGGAGAAGAGAGTAGAGGGCCCTGCTGTGCCTGTTTGTAGAGACACACACTGCTTACTAGCACACACAAGGGTGGCTCCATAGGACCCTGCAAGGTAAAGGAGCCACCCTAAAACAGGGTATCAGGGACAGTACTCGGGACCAGCTAGTTTAGGAAACTAAAACTTATAAACATCAAGGAGCTGTATTCTTGCATCAGCATTTGAAATAGATTAATATCACTTTAACCATGAGGCTTCATCACACACAGAACTGTATTTGGAATCATTAATCAATTATTTCAATTAATGGGAAGTCAGTTCCCATTTCAAACAATCCATTCAATCCATTTTAGGATTGAAAATGACAGAAAAGTTTTGTATTGGGCAATCGCAAATTATATTATTATTATTATTGTTGTTGTTGTTAGCATTTGTATAGTACTTTCATGTCTATTGGCTTTCTTCCTTTTCTTAGTATATGTGTCATTTTTATTTTTTCTGTTGTAAGTTTTTTTTAATGGAACTCTAGCTAAAACGCTTTGTGTTTGCTTTGCGATTGTGAAGAGTTAGAACCTTGGCCAGGTTTTTATTGCTGTCTTTGATTTTGCCTTACGTTCCCTGACGGGAAGTGGAAAGGAATCCCTATCTTGACTGATGTGTCTGAGACAGGTGTCTCCACTGGATGTGTTTCCTTTGCTTTCTATTTAGGCTCGGTTCACACCTGCACATCACGGGAACGCGCGTCCAGTTTGCGTGTGTTCGTGGGCTTTTACATACATTCCTGTGCCGCGTTTGCCAGGCGTTCCCATTGGTTTCAGTACGTTCATATACACACGGCAAAAAAAGCTCATGTCCTTTTTTTTGTGCAACACGCGTTCAGTGTTTTTTGCGTACTCGCGGCCACGTTTGGGGTGCCATTAATTAGTATTGCCAACACAAGCCAGTTTTGCATTTTTTTTGCGCATTTGACACGCGTTCCCGCTGCGACGCCTAGGTGTGAACCGAGCCTTACTGACAACTGCATCCTGGACCAGAAGTGAGAGAAAATCACAGCAGGCAGTAATAAAAGTAAAAAATCTGCTAGAAGGTGTAACCATTCTTCACTATATCAGACGACAGATAACATTTGTTTCTTTACACACAGACTGTCCTAATATTGAACTTGTATTTTGTATTTTTTACCCAGGGAAGACTGCTAGCGTGAGCCTTGTGTTCTGCTCCTCATTCAGTAAAGATGGATTGTAAAGAGGGCCAAAAGGAAGGTGAGTGTTCACTGCCTGTACCGCTTTATAACTTACTGTCCTCTTCAGGAATATGGAGTTTAGACAATAGCAGGTACAGCCCAGCTGAATGTGCGAGTCCTGGCAGCCAATCAGAAGTCATGTATTTTAAATCAAGGCTGAACCCAGATGGTTACATTGCTATACATTGGCCTATGGGCTATTACCTGGCCACATTTTGTCTCAGACAACCTTTAGCAACCAATCAGATCCACTCTTTTTGTCTCTTAAGTGCAATATGGTGGAATGAAAGGAAAATATGGGAGTATCTTTCATACCCTAAATGACAAGATAGAAGCAGATCTGTCAATTTGCCCACGCAGGCTCCGGGCATCGAATTCTCGGATTTGATACATGTTTAGGGGGAGGAGCAGGACATTAACAATGCAAAAGCTCTAACACTGACATTCCACAGGCGTTAGTCCTACAGATCCAATAGAGGAACAGAGCCCTGGAGAAGATGAGTTCCATTAGGTTGGGGGAAGAGGGAGCTTTCAAGAGGACCTGTCATTTTGCCTGAATGGGCAGTGTAACAGATGTTTTTCAGTAGAGGTTCCTGGGACAATACATTTGAGATTTCAACTTCTTAATCAAATTGTTGAAAATGTATGAATTTTGAACACAACTGATCGTGCCCAGTCACATATCCTTCAGATTTGGAGACAATTCAGCCAATTGGGCACAGTGCTAGATTTCACACATATTTGGGCTTATCTTTAAAGAAGAACTCCAGGTAACTGTTCTTAACCCTTGCAGTGGGGCTACCCACACAAATGTAAAAAATAGCCTAAAGTTTCATGAAAATGTTTTTATAAATGGCCGAAATAATTACAATATAGTTAACCAGCATTATTTCACTCCAAGATACCTGCACGTGTCTTTTTGTTTATCTTACACAGTGATCTGAAAGTGCTTAGTATGCAAATTTTGGCTTCCTGCTATACAGTTTGGGTTCTTACACCCCCACCTTACATTGAGGGATTGTGGTAGAGGCATGTAAACCCAATCACTAAATTAGTCATGTTCAATCATTTCACATCTGCAGCTTTTATTAAAATTCTACCTGGTGACTCTGCCATGAAAGTCCATGTTTAGGCCCCACCTGTTATAGAGTGACAACGCTATGACCCTGTCTCTCCGAGTTGTTTTATTGGCTTTGTCACACGGTCTTCCCACGTGGTCTTTTCAGCACACATTACACAGGCATCACCCACTGTTGTCGCCATCAGGAAACCTACCCTGAGAAATGCCATGCAGCCATCGCTAAAGTGCATTTAGACAGGAAGTGACTGCACAGAGGCTGCAGAAGATCAGCAGCACTGATATGCACCAAAGGATGAAAAAAGGCAAAAACAGGTATTTTGTTAAAATAAAAGCAGTTCGTTAGGATACACAGTGCTTTAGGAAACTTAAAGGGTATCTATGGTCTAAAAACCAAACATAAATGTGTATATCTATATTGAATGTCCATACATTCTATGCCACTCCTAATAACCATATTGATCTAGAAGTTTGCAAACTTACTTATTGAAGATGCCCATAGGATGAACTTCCTCAATGCACTGACACAATTTCACTCGGCCCTGTGAATATGCACTTCGACTCGCACAGAGCCTGCCTTCTGATACAAATCAACGTCTGAGCATGTACCATTTATCATTGCTTGCTGGAACCAGTGCATGATGGGAAATGTAGTCCTTGAAAAATTGAGACTGCATCGCTTTAGGTAGCAGAGAAAGAGATTCAAAGCACACTGGGAATCTAGGAAGTCATTGAAAGTGATGGGCAGATGGGAGTTAGCGCTTTATTACTTAAAGGGATTTTTTTTTAAGGGATGCACCGATACCAGTATTTTGGTACCGAGTACGAGTACCGATACTTTTTCCCGGTACTCGCCGATACCAATTACCGAGTACCTGAAGTCCCATTCAGGCAGCCAGGTGGCGTGTAATGACTCACCACCCGGCTACCCGATTAAAAAGTAAGCCGTCCCGTACAAATCCCCATAATAATAATCATATGATCCAGCATGTCTCTGCAGTGCGGATCTCTGTGCCCTCTCACCTCGGCATGTCCAGCCTGTCACCCCCAGGGCCTCTCCAGCCAGGAGCGGCCTTCCTCCGGTACCCAGCCGGAGCCGTCTTGCTGGCCAATCATGGAAGCCGGGCGCCGTGTAATGAAGCAGCGCCCGGCTTTCTGATTGGCTGGGAGGCCGACTTCATGCTCCCTCGC